ACCTGAAAAACCAAGAACAATCCCTAAACTTTGTTGTCATCCTTTGGGGCCCTGCCTGGATAGTTAATTATCTTGCTCAATTTCTATAAATACTTCCATATGAATCTCTTGAGATAGACTCATTTACATAAGTATACCTAAAACTATTGATAATTTCTTAAAATCATCTAATATCCAGTAATTTTTCTTAATCTTTTTTGTCTTTTTTTTTTTTTTGAGACAGAGTCTCACTCTTGTCACCCTCAGTGCTCATAGCTCACAGCAACCTCAAATTCCTGGGCTCAAGCGATCGTCTTGTCTCAGCCTCTGAAGTGCTGGGACTACAGGCATGCACTACCATGCCCAGCTAGTTTTTCTGTTTTTAATAGAGACAGGGTCTCACTCTTGCTCACACTGGTCTCAAACTCCTGAGCTCAAGCAATCTGCCCACCTAAGCCTCCCAGAGTACTGAGATTACAAGTGTGAGTTACCATGCCCGGCATAGCCAGGCATTTGTCAAATTTCCAATTCTCAAATATTTGTCTTTACAGTTAGTTTGTACAAAACAAAATCCAAATACCTTTCAGATCTTTTAAATGCACAGGAGTCCTCCTTGCCCTTCCTCCTTTTTTACTGGATATTTGTTGAAGAAATTGGATCATTTGTCCTATAAAATTTCCATATTCTGGATTTGGATAGTATCTTCTCCATGTCTTTTAATACATTCTATCCATTGTGTAGACTGGCAAATCTAATTATGTATGATTCAATTATTAATATTTTGGCAACAGTATTTCATATATAATATATCAAATATATTTTTAATAGCCAAATTAATTTGGAAACTAAGACACTGCCTTCTTATAAGTCTCTGCTGAGTTTTAACTTTTTTTTTTTGCCGGTGCTGGCTTTGAACCTGCCACATCTGGTATATGGGGCCAGTGCCCTACTGCTTTGAGCCACAGGCACTGCCCACTGCTGAGTTTTAATTTATAATTAATTTTTTATTTTCTGAGACAGAGTCTTACTCTGTCACCCCAGCGTAGAGTGCTATGGTGTCATAGCTCACAGTAACTTCAAACTCTTGGGCTTAAGCAGTCTTCTTGCCTTAGCCTCCCTAGTAGCTGGGACTATAGACGCCCACCACAATGCCTGGCCACTTTTTGGAGTCAGGGTCTCACTCTTGCTCAGGCTGGTCTTGAATTCCTGAGCTCAAGCAATCCACCTGCCTCGGCCTCCCAGAGTGCTAGAATTACAGATGTGAACCACCCTGCCCAGCCATATAACCAATATTTTAATATTGCAGAGACAGCCCTTATAACCTACAATTTATGGAAGCACTATCTACTGAAACTGCACCAAAGTATATATAATCACTTTTGTTTTTGTTTTTTGTTTTGTTTTTGAGACAGAGTCTTAACTGTGTCACCCTCTACAGAGTGCTATAGCATCACAGCTCACAGCAGCCTCAAACTCTTGGGCTTAAGTGATTCTCTTGCCTCATCCTCTCAAGCGCTGGGACTACGCCTGCCACAATGCCTGACTATTTTGTTGTTGTTGTTGTTGTTGTTTAGCAGGCCCAGGCTGGGTGCGAACCCACCAGCCCCAATATATGTGGCTGGCACCATAACCACTGAGCTATGGGTGCCATGACTATAATCACCTTTGTTTCCACATTATTTCTTTCTGAGAAGTTGAAGTATTGTGCTTAAAAGTATGTTTGACATAGTTTTATTTAAATTTTACCAATTGTTTGAAATTAGGGGGTAGCAGTGTAAGGCCTATATTTTGTAGGCAACTGGTACCCACCAGTTTTTAAAACTATGTTGGACATAGTTCTGTTTAAATTTTACCAATTGTTTGAAATCAGCAGGTAGCAGTGTAGGGCCTATATTTTGTAGGCGACTGGTAACCACTGGTTTTTGAGCAGGGAAATAGTATAATGAAAATATGCTTTAAAGGGAGACATTATTATAAATCTTTCAGATTTAAGAAAAGCAGAGATTGTGTATTTGATAGTAAATTTATGTAGAATTGTCTTTGCAGCCACAGAAACACCTCTATGGACAAGTGCATCATGTATTATACTGATACTGCAGTGTGTTTGACAAGCCTCATAGATGGTGATTTTGATTTACTACACAAAATATCTAGGAGGTGACTGCAGTAAAGCAAGTAAGAGCAGAAAATATAACACATACATACAACTGAAATATTTCTTTAAATGTAAATTAGTCATACCAAGTCAGTACTCTGCCCTCAAATTCCACTGCCTTCCTTTCACACTTGGAATAAAATTCAAAATGGTACTTTGGCTGCCCCAGCACTACGGTAAACCCCTTCTATTCCTCTGATCTTAATTTCCTACTACTTTCCTCATCTCATTGTGCTCCAAAATCCTTGCTCTTCTTAAAGCATGGCAAGACAGTTTCCTATCTTGGGCTTTTGCACTTGCTGTTCCCTACACTTGAATATTATTTCTTCCCAAGTAGTCATAATCCACTTCTTTACTTCACTTTTAGGCCTTTGTTCAGTATCACCTTTTCAGAGGCCTAACTGGTTGCCCTGTATAAAATAGCACTCCATCTTACTCCTCCCCCTCCATCTCCTTGATACCAGAAAAGTGGCACCCCAGCCAGCTCAGCCGAGCAGGGCCTAGGGGACCTGCCACTTCTGTCTTGGTGGCAGCAGCCCGCAAAAAACCCAGCAGGTTGGGGCAAGCGGGAGAGCTTTCTTCCCCCAGAGGCTCCAGTAGAGCGGGGCTAGAGGACCTGTGAATCAAGGGAAAACTGGTGCCCATCCCTGATTGGTCCATTTTCAATCCTGTTCCTGATTGGTTCATTTTCAATCCTGCTCCTGATTGGTCCATAAAATGGACCAATAGCTAAGCTATTACACCTATATAAAGCCCTGAGCAGAGAGCCTGGGGGCAAACTTGGGCAGATCATCCCAGACTTTGGCAGATCGGCTGTCACAGACCTTCCAGGAAGATAGAGCAGAAGAATAAGACTTCAGCAGACCATTGCAGACTGTCCAGAAGAAGAAGCGAAAGCTGTGGCACTTCTAGTGCTGATCCTGCTCTGCAAAGAGGCTTGGCTCTTTGTAGGAGTTGTAACACTTGAGCTGTAGCTGTAACACCTCCGCTGCTGATCCTGCCTTACAAAGAGGCTTGGCCCTTTGCTGATCTCTGCCCTGCAAAGAGGCTTGGCCCTTTGTAAGAGCTGTAGCACATCTAACCTGCTCTACAAAGAGGCTTGGCTCTTTGTAAGAGTTCTTTTCATAAGAGTTGTAACACTTGTATCCTGCCCTGCAAGGAGGTTTGGGTCTTTGAGCTGTAAATAAAACCTCACTGTTCGTTCTATGGTCTATCGATTCATTCATCTAATCGTTGAGACCAAGAGCCTGGAAATCCAGTGTTAAAAATCCGGTATCATCCTTACCCTTCTTTATTTTTTTATTCTACAGGATGTAATTATCCGACATTATATTGTATTATACTAACTGGTTTCTTTCTCCTACTAGACTGTAAGTTCAGTTACAGTAAAGACTTGTTCACGTCTCCAGCTTCTAATACATGCTGTCAAGTTATTTGACTACATTTAACAACGTCATCTACTCCTCAAAAGTAGGAGGTGGCAGCTTGGCCCTGTAATCACCTTCAGGCCTGGAGTTCCAGACCAGCCTGTGCAATAGTTGAGACGACCCTTCCTCCCAACAAAAAAATAGAAAAGTTAGCAGGGTAGTAAGTACCGTAGACCCAGGTACTTAGAGGATGAAGCAGGAGGATCACTTGAGCTCAAGAATTTTAGGGCTCAGTGCCTGTAGCACAGTGGTTATGGTGCCAGCCATGTACACCGGGGGTGGCAGGTTCAAACCTGGCCCAAGCCAGCTAGACAACTGCAATAACAAAAAATTGCCGGGTGTTGTGGCGGGCGCCTGTAGTCCCAGCTACTTGGGAGGCTGAGGTAAGAAAATAGCTTAAGCCTAAGAGTTTGAGGTTGCTGGAGGCTATGACACCACAGCATTCTACCCAGGGTGACAGCTTAAGACTATCTTAAAAAAAAAAAAATTGCTTAATTTTATTGCCTTGTTCCAATATTTATTAATGTCTCCCAAATATCACAAATTTTGATGTTTGTATATCAGGTTATACTGTGTTTAGTGAATGGTTTGGT